GGCACACCGTCAGCACTGTCTACATGTTGCGTTGCTTAGTTCTGCTCCTTACATTGTCCCTTTTACACAGTAAACATTTGCAAACTGAGTAAATATATCCAAAATATATATTTTTATTTGGATTTCATCTTATGGAGGAGCATAAACTAAAAGCAAAAGGTCAATAATGAAGCTCCTAAAGCTGCATATCTTGTTTTATGTCTCTACCAGCTTTCATACATTCCTCCTATTTAGCTCAACCTCTGTCCGAATGAATGAAACTTAACCTTTCAAATCCTTGCACAGATTTTCTGTTGCTTTTTAGTTTGTGACTAAACTAGCCTATCTTAGGAATCCTTGTCCCGTTCTAAGCTCAACCTTCCCTCCAGTCTAAAGTCATTTCTAGCATTTCCCTATATTTGGCCTCTTATATTTCCTCATTAACTCTTTGAAACGTCCCTCATGCTGCTGAAGCAAAGCTTTCCCTCAGCATGATGCTGTTCTTAACGCCTTTGACCAGATCGGTGTGTTTCCTGCAGGGATCATGGCGAGCTGCAACCATTTGCAGTCTACTTACCTTCTTGACGTTCTTCCATTAGTACGAAACTTGTGGTTGATTCTCCCTCCTGAGCTAAAGGTCTTTGCAGCTCCTGCAATTAGATTTTTCTAAGATTTAAGTTGACAGTTGAAGTAGATGAAATTAGATGGTTTTCTAATATTTATTTTATAAGAATCTGTTTCTGTAAAAACTGACTTGCTTTGTCGGCAAACAATATTAGTGATAAATAGATATGAAAATAAGCGAAAACTGCTAATTAGAAGGAAGCTGCATCTAAGCGACTAAGCATCTATAAATAGATGCTTAGTCGAATAAATATGTTTTAGTTTGTATATTTTTTGATCATCATGTAATCAAATTCAGTTCAACAGTTTGGAATCAAGCATCACAAACTGAAGCTGCCAAGACCGCCAGAATTTAATAGAAATGTTTAAAACTGGTTTCAGATATCCTAATTTGTATCCCCTGGTTTGAGCCGAGATTCAGTAAAAAAAAAAAAAAGTTAACTATTTCAGTCTCTCCAATAATAAAAACGGCCCAATATATGGATAATAAGCAATATATGCATGTCCTTTATAGGGAGGGTTTCATTAATCATTAGTATTATTGCTTGGAGCACTTTTACACATGAATAACGCCACTGTTATATATAAAACCACCGAAGGTTTTCTGGCTAAAGGATGAGAGGAGAGTGGAGAGGTTCAGATATAATGAGGGGATATTTGCCAGTATCTGACCCAGGCCTCACACACACACACCATGGTAAATGTAGGCTTGTGTTACATGACTGTTTGTGCGGCACTCTTATTGATACAGATGTATCGGTCATTAAGCCAGTTAGATTTGACGTCTCAGCTCGACCGTGGCCAAAGAAAATAACAGCGTTGCTCTGCTACAGAAATGTTCCAGAGAGAGAGCCTCGCTGTGGTGTTTTCAGATTACAGACTCATGTGTTTAAATGTCTGTAGTTGTTTTGTGTCTGACTTCAAACATGCTTAGTAGTTACAAACGGCAAACCTCTAACCACTGGGCTACATTGGACTGGAGGCAGAGGTTACTGCCCTACGCCATGACGCCCTCCTCCTCTCTCGATACTTGGCTCCATCCTGCTCCTCTGTTTAATCCTCTAGAGACCCTCATTTCTCTGCTGTCAGCAAGAACTACCCCCCCCCCCCCAGCCATATTAATGTTGGGAGTACAGCATTACATAATGACTGCGTTAGTAACGGAGTTACGTTCCTCCGTGGGTCCTTCCCCCAAAGTTGAGATGTTTCTCTCTCGTTCCCTCTGAGTTCCAGTCGTGCCTCAGCATGTAGGTGTCCTCTGATTGGTGGATTGCTGGTAATCTGTCAGACCAGCATACCCATAGTCAATACCCGTTCATCCCTTTAGTTGTGTACAAAAAATACACTTTAAACTACCTCATAAATCCCTTTAGTCATGTACAAAAAAAAAGAAATGTTAAACTTTTTGGTGTTTGTTTTTTTTTTAAGCGTATGGCGATCTAATCTTAAACTGTTTTTTTGTACATGAATAAAAGGATACACCCCTGTCGAGGTAGTTTGAAGTGTATTTTTCGTACAAAGCTAAAGGGATAAACAGGACCAGACATCTAACATCTTGCGCATGCACATTGACTATGGGTATGCTGGTCTGACAGGGTATGCTGGTCTGACTGGGTATGCTGGTCTGACTGGGTATGCTGGTCTGACTGGGTATGCTGGTCTGACAGGGTATGCTGGTCTGACTGAACACCGGTCCCACTTTGTCCATATCAGTTGTTCTGTCCTTGGCGAAGACACCTTCACCAATCTTGCATTCTGTTGGTGGTCAGAGTCGATGTAACGGCAGCCTCGTCTCTAATAGTGTCTCCCTAAATCGCCTTTGCCAAACACCTTCCATGTTTTTACCATTTTTGGTTATTATTAGGGCTGGGTAAAAAAATCGATTTTGGATCGATTACTTTTATAGTCACGCTTGTGACGTTCACATTCAAATAAGCAGGAAAGATGCTCTCAAGATGACTTCAAGCCAGACAGCTGCAAATATAGCCACTAGTTTGACTGAAGACATTAACAAATGGAGGCTGACAAGCAAACACCCTGTAGTTGTTACAGACAATGCTGCAGATATGGTTTGTGCAGTGGAGATAATGCAGCTCATCCATGTCTGCTGTGCCCACACTGTGTCACATCTGCTTGCTTGTGTGAGGCTTCACTTTTTCACTTTTCACAAACAAGTTTGCACTTTTGAGACCGTTTTGTTCATATCTCAAGTTTAAACTGTCTGATTTACAAGTTTGCACTTTGTTTTTACATGACAGGAAAAAAATAAAATACATCAGTATTTCGAAACACAGTTGAACCACTTTCATTATTGTAAAAACAGATTGAATCGAAATTAGTCGATTTAGAACTGTATGAATCAAAATCGAATCGATTCAGGACTTTGGCGAAAATACCCAGCCCTAGTTTTATGCACATTTCAAACCTCTAGCTGCCAATTTAGAGTAAAACAAAATGAATTTAAAGAGTATTTCATCTTCTTTATTACTCCATCTACTTGTGCAACGCTGGCAGCTGAACAGCCCCATGGCGTAAGGCTGCCACCACCATTTGGATTTGAAAAATCTCAAAACCATCTGTCATTTTGACAGATAGAAATTCACACCCTGACCCCTTGGTGGCTAAAGTGCAATAATGATCTGTTTGAGGCAAAACTCCCAAAACTAATGAAAACAGCCTTGTAGGAATCCAACTTGACGCATTTAATTACACAGTTTAGGTCAATACAGAAGAGGAGGAATTTTGAGACGATGCATTCAGGCCACATCAGGTAAGTTTTAGTGCAATTGCTTAACTTCATTATTTTATGTTGAGTTTTTTTTTATAATTGCAGAGAAAAGTTATAAATATACATCATGGTTGAGGTAGATTAATCGTTCTTGACATGGATTGTGATAAAAATGTTTAGAAATGCTTTATTATTATTTAAAAATCAGTCAAAATGACAATTAAGAAAGTCTATGGGAACCTCTTGTGTTTTTCCAGGGCAGTTGTGGCTAACGTAGCTTAATTAACATATCAGAGTGTGAATGGCTAAATGTTGTTAAAAAGCTTTGGGGTCTTCAGACAAGACAGAAGTCCTTTACTATTTCCAGCTACAGCTATTTTGGTAGTTCAGAGCGCTGGGATAATGGGTTTTGTTCAACATGCCCAGAAAGACAGTGTACCTATGTGTTCTCTTAAGAAGCGTTTCACATTCAGAGCCATAGCTGGACCGAGCAGGATCAGACCGCAGCCCCATCAGAGCCTCCTCAGCCTGAAACTGTTGCTCCTGTGCGTCACTACCCACCCCCTCTATGGAGGGCATGTGGCTGCTTAGGAGTCATGCTTTGTGTCTTTCTGCCTGGAAGAGCTAACCTGACAATCAGATTGATGTGTAGAACTGAGTTGAGTTCTACGTTATCAATCTGGGATGGCTGCTGTTTAATCTGTGTTTAAAAAAAAGATGGACATTTAGTACAATGCTTAAAACTGATTGGGTGACGTGGCAGCTAGTACCGCCTTCTGTAGTACAATTTCAGCCAATCGACAGGATGATCACAGTAGGGTTCATCTGCAGCTTCTTGCGTGTTTTCACAACTAGTGGAGTAAGCTGTTAAATCAACCTTTTTTTCCAAATCCCATCTTCAAATGCACAAAGCGCTTCTCTTTTCTTAACGAGAAATTGGCGCTAATTTAGGTCCAACCGAGTCAATTACGGTATCAACAGGTGAGTCCTCCAGCGTAGTCCTGTCTGTAATGTCCGGTAAGGCCTCTCTGACTTTTTTTCCAGCGTTTCATTGTCATTACTCTGTCATACGTACAGAGCAACAAAATTAAATCTCTGCATTTAACCCATCCCCTTAAAGAGCAGAGGGCTGCTATCGTGCAGCGCCCGGGGAAGCAGTGTGGGGGTTAAAGGTCTTTCTTAGGGACCCAGAGTGGCAGTCTGTGGGAGTGGGGCTTAAACTCAGAACCTCAGAATTCCAAGAGCCATGTCCTAACCACTAGGTTGCCACTCCCCAAAGCAGGCATTAGCGTGAAGCGTCTTGCCTAAGGACCCTCACTGGCAGCTCATGACTATCATCATTCATACATCTCCCGCCCCAAAAACCACTGCTGGCATGTCATTGGTCGGACTAACTGATTGTCACGAGACGGACGTATTATTAGGAATCTTGAAACAATCCATCTTGCAGCGCAAAGTTATGGAAGAGCTGCTTACTCCCAAAGCCAGGTCAACTTGTCGTTTGCTGCTCTTGGTTTCAAAACTTTGTAACATTCTCACCTCCAGTTGACCAACTGGAATATTTTGGCTGCCTGGTTGTTTACCAGCTAAGGTTGAAATGCTATGAAAAGGTATGGAAAGAAAGTAAATAAAATAAAATCTTATCAGTTCTTCTTCTTGTTTCTTTTAGTTGGAGGCGGAGTTAGCACTGTGTGAGAGGGAGGGGGCGGAGCTCCAGGAGTATGCCAATCAGGTCCTGCAGCAGATCGCCGACCGATGCCCGGACATTTTGGAACAAGTCGTCAACGCCTTGGAGGACAGCTGCTGACTTTGCACACACACACACGCACACACTCAGAGTGAGACTGAGTTCACACTCATTTGCATGCAAAATTAAAAAAAGAAAAAGGAAAAATTGAGCGTGCACACACAAAAAGAATCAAACATCTCCTGCAAGCTGCCACAATCTTCCTGAAGCAGAATGATCATCATTGTTGGAGATGTTCTCTGTGCTTTAGTTTACGAAGACTTTTGGTACACTTTATGAGAGAAAAATACATTTCCATTGCCAGCTGAAGGAAATGGTGTTCCTTGGTCAGTCTAAAGTGCTTAATTGGCAGATTCAATCAGAATAGATATATTTTTCTAACTCTTCTTAGAAAGAAAGCACCTGACCATCTGTTCCACTCACCATAAGTCCTGGCAGACTGCGGTTCCACTGTGGGAAAACGTTTTCAACCTGAGACTGAAGCTTCATAAAATGATCCAGGCTGTTTCTGATGCTAGACTTGCACGTTTTTGCCACATTTTTTTGATTAGTTGAAGTATTTTTATTTCAGCTGCCTTTTGCTCTTTGCATCATTTGCTGCTATAATGTTTTTTTTTTCTTTTTAACATTTAGGCCTTTTTTGTTTTGATTAGAAAGTCCTTAAATTCCTCAGTACCTCCTTCGCCTACAGGCACCTTGGAAAGGATTGATAAAGAGCTTCAAAAGTGCATTTTTACAGCAGGATAATTATTTTTAGCTCTGCTGTTCATAGTACTTTGTACAGCCTTCTTTTGCCCATTCGAGAGCTTATGGTCTTTATATCACAAACTCAGAGCAGGTGCAGTGAGATATTGCATCATATATCTTTACACTGTCTCTCTATGTCGCCCATTTGTCCTTACGGTGGTTATTTCCCAAATGTTTGAGTTTATTATCCTGTTAAAATGTATTTTTTCTACCACACTTTGATTTACAATGTTTCAGTATTACCTGGCATTTGTGATGCCCTGCAGTCTAACTTTAATTTTAAACATTAAAATCAGCCTCTTTTAATACTAAAAATTTAAGGCAAAAATGAACAATTGTATCTGTTAATTTTTAAAATTAAAACACGCCTTATTAAAATGTCATGTTTTCCTCTCATAGTAGATGAGAGAAACCCGCCTCCGTTTCATTTCATGTTTAGACCCAAATGGAAAAAGAAGTAGGTTAATAACTAACTAAAAGTTTTAAAGACACATTTAGGAAGTAAAATATCAGCAAAAAAAAAATTTTGCTGCATTTTGTTTCCAGGTAATATTAATATTCTTTTACATTTTTTTCTCCTTCTTAATAGATGTAATAAAATAAAAAATAAAAAAAAACTCTTCGCCCACACTGCAAAAACGATCTAGAATTACGTAAAAGTTTCTTAAATTAAGTGTATTTACCCTTAATTTGAGTAGGTAAATGAGGTAGTTTGCCAATGGAATGAGTATTTTTACTCTTAAAATAAGATAATTAGATACTATCCACTTGAAATAAGACAATGCAATTGTGTTTTCTTATTTTAAGTGTAAATTGTCTTGTTCCATTGGCAAAATGCCTCTTTTACCTCCTCAATCCAAGAACAAATGCACTTATTTTAAGAAAAAATGACCTATCTAGGTTTAGATTTTTTTCAGTGCATACCTTTAGTGTTGCATAATGACTTTCTACCCATCCTTCCCAGAGGTGCACACAGCTGTGCAATGTGAGGGTGCTCCAGTTGTAAGTTGGATTTTCCGTTGTTTAAACTGTAAAGGAATATGTCTAACTGATATCATGAAGTTGTAATTTGTCGTTGCTCATGAACAACAATGAATCTCGCAGTAGAAACTTTATTCAAACACAGATGTACTGTAGATATAGACCACGTCTCAACTTCTGGAAAACCAACATCTTCTGTTCAGGTTAGTCGTCCTTTAAAACCTCGTCCTTCACTCTGTCCATTTAAGCGTTAAGAGGTAAAATCTGAACTCACTGAAAGGTCACCGTTTCTGAGAATAAAGGAAGTAAATGTTATATACAGATATGTTTTTCTTGTTTCTTTTGAAAGTGTGCATTAAAGTATTATCATATATCTGTTGGTCTGATTCATGACGTGTCAAAAATCCTTTTCTTTTGTCAGTTTGTGAATAATTGGTTTGTATGGATGTATGCTTAACCTGCAGCAGCTGTTTCCCACCAGGGAGACAGATTCATCTCGTTCTTGTTCAGTTTGGCACTGACAGTATTAGCATGGTTCAGATTATTATTTTTAATCAGATGTGTGATTGTTGAGACTTCTTTTGTCTTTTAAAAAGTCACCTGGTTGGAAACAAAGCTTGAAGATTTGGATTTATGTTTTCAGATCTAACTGGTTTTCAGGTTTTTTTATGCGCACATGAAAGCCGCTGGCTTCTTTAATTAAACATGTTTTTCGGATGGTTTATAAAACCTGTGTGTCTTATTTAAAGAAAAAAATCTGTCAGATTTAAGCTTGCGTGTTGTTCATTCTTTCGTTATTGTTTCTACTGTTTCTGACCGATACCATAAAGGTCGGTGACTGCGACTCGCTCTGAACTTGTGGACACATGAGAGAAATAAATAAATGAATGCTTTATCTTCACTCTTGTTTTAAGTCCTGTCAGTTTTTATGATTTCTTCTCTTGTTTTTGAGTTTCTGTTTAGACATGTATTGATAACAGGCCCCATTTAGGCTGCACATGGAAGAAGATAGAGGAGGAACGGGTGCAGGGGCCAGTGTCTGCAAGGAAAGGTAACAATGTACCACGTATGTTTAGATTAAATTATACTTTTTATATTTAAGAATGAACTGAGGATAAAATAAATAATCTTTTTCTATTTCTAAAAAGGAAATACGGGCTAGAGCTTTAAACTTTTTAAATTGCTGTAATCTACAAAGTCTTTACTAACTATATGAATCTAAACCTCCATGAGTATTTAGATTAAAACAACAAGGTCTAAGAAATCATATTGCATTTTTTATCATTAAATAAAAGTGGTTTCACTTTCCTGTTGGAAGAGCGCGTTTTGACCCCAGCAGCCGCCCTTTTAGGGAAAAAAAAACATTGGTTCCACCCATCGTTCTTAATCTGGGACACAAGTATTACTGGAAGCACTTGGACTGCATTTTAAGAGGTTCTAAAAATGAGAAAAATGCAAACAAATCAATCGTAAAGAAGAGCCAATGAGCAGAAAGAGAAATGCACGGCACAAACTGTAGCAGACGATTTGAACCAGGAGTGATCTTTGAATTTAGCTCTAAAAGCAGAGCTTAGATGAATGAAATTAAATTAATCTCAGCTGCTTGAAAGCAAGTAGGATTTTTCCACTGAGCTGCTCAGTTATCAGGCTAACTGTAATACAATCTCAAGTTTTTTTTATGAAATTTAAAAATCATTTAAATGTAGATAAACTTTGTTTTGTTTTATTTTCCATCAGATATAATTAATTTCTATTTTTAAAGCAGCCATGTTGAATTTTAAGCTCTGATTAGGTGATAGACACAAAGCTTTCCCATTTGGAAGTCCACCTTTAGGGGATCTGCCTGCTAACTTTATAAATGTCATCCTCTGAATAAAAACAAATATTGAAGAAGATGAATTACCCTTCAAATTAATTTGGTTTCACCTCAAATTGACAGCTAGAAGTTTACAACTTGGAACAAGTTTGATGTTTCCCATGCACATTGAAGCTGGTTTTAATATGGATGCAGCAGGAAAACGTTAAGCTTCAGTAATGGCCGCAGCCCGACTCTGTTAAAATTTTATGGACACCAGCGCTGCATGTATCGAAGCATAATATCATATCCTCTCCTCACAGACTCTCCTCTGGTTTCCATTCGCCTCCTCCATTTCCCCTCTATCTCCTTCCACATGCAGACTAAACGGTGCCTGTTATCTTGTTGCGAGTGGTTTATTTTCCTCTCCGCCTACTTTGGGGACATGATTGCATACCCCAGGCCTCTTTATCTGAACCTGCATCCTTCAGAAAGGCTTCTTCTCACACCAGTTCTTCAGCACACAGACACAGACTGACCCCCGCTGTGCCATCCGCCTGGAAACTCTTTGACTTTTTGGATCTTAACGGCGACTCAGTCAGCTTCTGGGGGTATGCAAACAGATTAATGACAGAGAAGGCCTCCCACAAACATACACAGTCTTAATGGATGTTTGGTAGATGCTCACTGAACCAGAAAATGTGCTTCAACAGACCTGACTTTGACCCTCACCTGACGCTTGACCTTCCATTCAGGTGAATGTGCTCCCTCTCTTTCTCACCATGCTTTAAAAAACAACCTCCCGACAGTCTGTAAATGTAACATGTGTTTACCCCCACATATGGCAGCGCTCCCTGTCTGTGTGCATGATTTCTGCAGAGGCTTCTGTTTTCTCCATCTACTGTCCCAATAAAAGCCAGCGGAGTGAGGCAGAGGGGATGGACGGAGCGAGCGGGAGGAGGAAGAGATACGGCTGTATGAGTCTCTGATTTATGTGATGGAAAGAGATAGGTGGAAACATGGAGACACACCACACTGAGCAGCAAGCATCATTTTATCATCCCTGCTCAAGTTCTTTTGAATTTGTTTCAGAGTGCAGAAAGTGAGATTCCTGAAAATGAATATTAACAGAAAAAAATTGTCTTGAGAATGAAAAGCTTCTTTTAACCATAAACCTTTCAAAAATGGCATTCATTTCTTAATCGGTAAAAAATTATGTACGTTTGAAAATAAAGCCATATGAGATGAACAAGTATTTGATATCTAAGATTAAATAAGGTTAATTGGATTTATTACTAACAGCAAATAAACTTTAGATAAAACCCAGAACATTTAAAAAACAAATATTTTACATAAAATGTATTAATTTTATGAAACTGCTCCAATAAGAGCCTTACTTTACCAAATAAAAACATTTTTACCTACTCATCCATAAGTATTTATTCCTGTGTAGTTTGACCTGCAGACTTAGAATTATTGCATGAACTGATTTTTTTATAATGTTTTAATATATGTAACAAACAGTTTAACATCAGAAAAAGTAAACATGTTCATCCTAAATGGCTTCAATCAGCAGTTTAATGTGTAAATAATCTGATTGATCAGTGTCTG